AAAAAGTATGCATTATTTTAGAGCTACTAATCCGCTCAAGAAGATTCAATGGTAGAATTAGAAGATCAAGTGATATTAGTTATTCAGCAAGTGTTGGAGAGGCCTGGATTTTAGAACTTATCCCATTACTTTCTGGAGATACATATAATGTAATATATGCTTTGTTTATGTTGTTGGTTACATGACTCACTCAAATACATGATTCAATTATATAACCACATATGAAAGAGAAGCATGCTATATTAACTTAACCTGCAAAAAATAAACTGTGAAAAGTTAGAACTAGACGAAGGCAAGGCCTTAGCGGAGGCACATGGTTTGTTCTTCATGGAGACATCAACGCTTGGTTGTCATGTTAGGTAAATTGCATACAGTTTTTACATATCAAGTTTTGGTTTTGTTTCAGATTAAAGTCCCACATCTGTTAAATACAGGAAGTATATATATATATATATATATATATATATATATATATATATATATATATATATATATATATATATTAGTAATCGTATTGCCAACATGAATATTAGACTAATAGCTATATGAATTGGGTCTGGCCCAGTAAAATCTAATTAAAATTATTTATTAGTTAGTAAAATATTAATTAATATATTAATTTCATGTAAATAAAGATACTTTTTTTATTTAAATCAGTACTGTCATGTATGCAAAAATAGAGGGGATCAACAAAATCTCAAATGATGTAAAATTTAAGGACTAGAATATCGGGTTTTAAAATAGGGGGACTAAAAGTTAAAAACATCAAAATAGAGGGACTAAAAGTGCATTTAAGCCTTTATTTTATGTTTTAGTGCATCATTTGAATTTTCGTTTTATTTTCTATTTTAAAACTATTTAAAATCATTTTTATTTTATTTTAATTGATTTTCTTCATTTATTTTTTGTTTTGAATTCTGGTTGACTTGGATCATGGCTTGATTGATCAATGGATTTTGGGTGATATTTTGATTGTATGAACCTTCATCATTTCAAACTTATCATTAAATGATCATTTTTGATACTTTAAATTGATGATAGATTTATCCTCTTGTGCTACCAAGAGATTGAAATTGATGATAGATGATCTCATGTTGTGTTTGTTTTGACTTGATCAATCTTTCTCCCCTCATCTCCTTCTTTTTTGCTTTGTATTAAATCATAGTGTTACATTGTTTTCGGAGAATGACTTTGTATAATCTCTCTAACATACACTACACCTACATTGATATTGCCATATCTTAAATAGGTTCAATTTCTACATAATTTCATTTACGATTGTTTAACATAGCGATAAATTGTCTCGAGTCGTATTATTAACTAGGGGTGTTCGCGGTTCGGTTTGGATCGGTTTTAAAGCAAAAACTCATCCGATCCAAAGGTTCGGTTCGATTTTGGATGATATATTTAAAAAAAAATCAATCTGATCCGATCCAATTTTATGCGGTTTAATTTGGATCGGTTTTTGGATATCCAAATTACACATTATATTTTTATTAATATTATAAAACTACTAATAAATCACAGATTTGATATAATATATAACATATAGTATATTAAAAGTTAATATTACAAAATGAGAGTGATTGATTATGCTTGAAATAATAAAAATAAATAGATTATACCAAACTAATAAATATTATTAAAAAAATTATTATCATCTAATAATAAATTCACATAACATGTCATACTAATAAAAAGTAAATAAGTATCAAAATATATTTGTGCGGTTCGGTTCGGTTTGGATCGGTTTTGAAAAATTCATCCGAAATCCAATCCGAACTGATCGGTTTTCATAAAATAACATCCAAACACAACCAATAACTTTCGGTTTTTTATGGTTTTCGGTTTTTTGGATCGGTTTTCGGTTTTTTATTTGGATTGGTTTGGATTTGAACACCCCTATTATTAACTACTGACATTAACATTAATTCAATATTATTGTGCTAACTTTACTTTTCTGCACTTTTACATTAATGACATTTAATTTCTTACTCATTTATTTTAATACCATTTATATTTCATGCTATTTACTATTCTGCCTTTTTTCCTTTTGCTCATTGGACTTTTCTTTTTCTTTTGATTAAAATACATTAATAAAGGCAAAATTCTAAACAACTTTTAATGTGTTCTTGAGGACTATTTGATTACTATCCTTTGCTTGAGGAGTTTTAGACCTTGGACTTAGGACTTAGTTTTCTCTTTGCTTGGAGTGGTTACTTGATACTTGGAATTTCATCTGAGACTGAGTTTCACCTGAAACTTTAATCCTTCATCTGATACATTTGGATTTCATCTAGTGTTCTATATTTTATCTGATGTTGTGTGTTATCTAAGACCTCTGATTTTCATCTGATGATTGAGATTTTTATCTGATACTTTATGATTCATCTAATGCTTTGTGTTTTCATTTGAATCTTATTTCTTATCTTGTGACTTAATTCAAAGAAAAATGAATGCTCATTTTGACCAATGTCAGATGCTTGCTCTTCTAATGATTAGTTCACTTGCACACAAAAAAACTTTCTCTTGGACTATCTTACAATGAGACCATTTATTTCTTGTCTTTTTATTTATTCTTTACGATAGTCCCTTCATCTATTCCACTTCTTTAATTTTTAAAATCTTCTCCCTATTTCAAAACTTCTTGTTTTCAAACTTCACATTTTTCCTTAAGCAAACCTTGACTTTGTCAAGAGATCCAGAAAAAAAATTTCTTAATAAAAATACTAAAATACTTAAACATATTCAAACTCTTTCAAAAACCTCTAAAAAAGACAAACTTCATCAAACTTCTTTTGTGCCTTAGTGCACTTTTTCATTTCAAACCAGACCTCTTTCTGAAAGAAAAAATATGAGTCTATTATTGAAGTGATGCAAATTCCTATACTTCTACAATATGCCGTGAAATTGATTGACATTTTCCACTTGAATGTTGAGTAAATCCAGATAAAATTCTCCATATCAAGATTATGCAAATGCTCATTTTCTCATACTTGTGGGTAGTAAGTTGAGTTTTCCACTCGAATATGACAAAATGTATTTTTCACCTAAAATCAATCAACAAACAAAAGCACATTTCATAAGCAAAAGCAAGTGATTCATATGGAGTACCATAAATGTGAGGGGGTGCTAATATCTTTCCCTTGCATAACCAACCCTGTATCTAAATTTTTCTTTTGTTTTGTTTTCAAAAAAATTTGTGAGTTTTTTTCCCCGATCTTTTCTCTTTTTTCTTTGGAAACGATAAAGTTCAGTAACGACTTTTACTTTTTTCTGAATTAAATTAATCAATAGCTTAATCTCAATTTTCCCACTGTAATAGATTCGTGATATTAATGTTAATAAATTTATTTTTTAAACAAATTCATTCCTTTCAATATGGTAAGGGAAGGCCATTCAAATTAAATTATCTTAATTATGCTCATAAATGATATATTAGCTCTAATTCATATATAAAACTTAAAGTAATACTATTTACTTCTCGCCTAAAGAAAAATACACATTTATTTGCACATGATGAACATGATGCTCATTTTACTATTTTTGTTATAGATCACACTTCTCTTTTTTTACATTAGCATTCTCTTGTGATAATTATCGTTGAATATTTCAACTCCAAATTAACATTTTCTTCTGATAATTAGTGATGTATTAGACCAAATATATTTATTATTTAATGAGTTTAAAAAAATAAAATATATTTATAGTTATAAAGAATGAAGGGTGTACATTTCAAAATCTTTAAGACGATTTATAAATTGGATACATGATATATATTGAACAAAACATGATTGCTAGTAGATAATTGGTATGTATGAAGAGGTCAGAGCGGAGATATGAAGCCGGACAATGCGAAAGACATGCCTACTTGGGGTCGAGGTGCAAAGTTGAGAGAAGTCAGGGGCATGCTTAGTCGGATGGCCGAGGTATCAGATCAGTGTAACAATTACGATAGCCTAAAAACTGTATGATTATTACAAACATCAATAGAGAGGCGTTATGCCTAATGATTACGGCGGCCGAAGTTAAACATCGTCATTGCTAAATGGATATAAAAGGTCATCTCTTAATGAAGACATGTCACGAAGATAAAAGTATAATAGGGAACGTCCCCTAGAGAAAAAGGACAATCAATATACAAAATACAAATAGGAAGATAACAACTACAAAAATACAAAAAGAGTTACAGTAATACTTAATTCACTTTCAAAAGTGTTTGGTAGAAACAAAGAGAATCCTGAAATATTAAGTTAAATAAGATAACAACCACAAATATATAAAAACAAATGAAGTCTTACATATATTATCATTTATATAATAGAACCGCAATTTTTCCTATCAAATTGAACTATCTAACTATTGATAATTTGCAATCCTTTATTAAAAATGAAATAAATTTTTTTAGTCAATTGAAATTGGCATTATAGTAAAACATTTTGTTTGGTAAGGAAAAACAAGAGAAAAAAAAAAAGAAGCAAAAAAGACGCCGGCACATTTGCGTGTGGTGTTTGGGCGTAGGAATACAATCGAACTCCAAAACAGTGTTGCTGTGCTTACTAGGGAATCGTCGTCCAGCTAGCAACATTCGGCAACGGTAATCTCAATTCTCAACCCAATACATACATACCTCTCTCTCTCTCTCTCTCTTCATTTCACTAACCACCCAAACCCCTTTTTCTAGCGGGTACCTTTTTTCTCTCAACTCTTTATTACCTTCCTTTTATGTTTTCAAATCTAACTATGTTTTCTTTTTGCCTTTTTGTTCTTGTTAACTTCGTTAAGTTCTTTTTTCGGTTTCTTCTTTTCCAATTCTGGATTAATATCTTGTTTATGATGCGTGATTGTTGTTTTCTTTGTTTTGTTATGTTTTTTGCAATTGATATAAAGGAGAGGAAAAAATCACTATAGTTTTATGTATGTTAATCTCTTGAGCTAGGTTTTAGCCTTTTGTTTCTACTTAGTATAACGTCTTCAAAATTCCAGGGATTCATGTGATCATGGATTTAAAACCAAAGAGGACAAGTGTTGCGGACAATGCTGACGCCGGGGACGATTTGCTCCTTGCAAATGGGGATGATGTTGCTCCTCTTGTTAGGCATGCATTTCAAACCGGGCGACCAGAGGGGCTTCTTCGTCAGATGAGTTTTGTGGTTAAGGAAAAGGAAGCCGAAATCGAGGAGACGTGCAAGACTCACTACGAGGAATTCATCCTTGCAGTTGATGAGCTTCGTGGCGTGTTGTTTGATGCCCAAGAGTTGAAGAGTCAGCTCCACGGTGACAATTTTAAGTTACAGCAGGTTGGGAGTGCCCTTCTTGTCAAGCTTGAAGAGCTTCTTGAGTGTTATTCTGTTAAGAAGAATGTGGCGGAAGCTGTAAATATGTCTAAGAACTGTGTACAGGTGTTAGAGCTTTGTGTCAACTGTAACAGTCAAATTTCTGAGGGTCAGTTTTATTCTGCATTGAAAACTGTGGATGTACTTGAGAAAAATTACCTGCACAACATTCCTCTAAAGGCTCTCAAAATGGTTCTAGAGAGGAGAATTCCTGTGATAAAATCGTACGTTGAGAAGAACATTTGCGGTCAAGTGAACGAATGGATGGTTCAGATAAGGAGCTCGGCTAGAAATATCGGGCAAACAGCCATTGGCCGTACTGCAACAGTTCGCCAAAAGGATGAGGAAATGCTAGAACAGCAGAGAAAGGCGGAGGAGCAATGCATTTCAGGAGTAGGGAATCTAGCTTATACTTTGGATGACGAAGAATTAGACGAAGATCCTGTTATCAAGTTCGACCTTACACCTCTTTATCGTGCTTGTCATATTCATGATTTTCTAGGAATCCGGGAGAAGTTTCGTGAGTACTATTATACTAATAGATTGTTGCAATTGAATTCGGACCTTGAAATGTCTTCCGCACAACCTTTTGTCGAATCATACCAGACATTTTTTGCTCAAATTGCTGGATTCTTTATAGTTGAGGATAGAGTCCTCAGAACTGCTGGGGTCCTCCTGGTAGCTGATCAAGTTGAAACAATGTGGGAGACGGCTGTGGCTAAAACGACATCTCTGTTAGAGGAGCAGTTCTCCTCTATGGAGTCTGCCACACATCTTCTCCTGGTGAAGGATTATGTGACTCTGTTTGGATCTACTCTTAGACAATATGGACATGACATTGGCACACTTCTTGATGTGCTTGATAGCAGCCATAACAAGTACCACCAGCTTCTCTTGGAAGAATGCCGACAACAAACTGTTGAGGTTCTTGGCAATGGTTCATATGACCAAATGTTAATAAAAAAGGAAAGTGACTATGAGAATGTTGTTCTTTCATTTAATCTTCAAACATCTGAAACTATGCCTGCTTTTCCATATGTTGCACCATTCTCCTCCATGGTTCCTGATGTATGTCGCATTGTGAGATCATTTATCAAAGGCTCTATTGATTACTTGTCTCATGGTATTGGTATGCATATGCATGTCTTTGATGTTGTGAGGAAGTATTTGGACAACTTCCTGATTGACATATTAAATGCAACAATACTTGATACAATCAATAGTGGCAACATCGGTGTACCTCAAGTTATGCAGATTGCTACAAACATAGCTGTCCTTGAAAGAGCCTGTGATTTTTTCCTTCGACATGCAGCCCAACTATGCGGCATCCCTTGCCGACCAGTTGAAATGGCTCAAGAAGCTTTAAGTGCAAAGGCGGCGTTGAAGACATCGAGGGATGCAGCTTATGTTGCTCTACTGACCATGGTAAACAAAGAAATAGACAAGTTAATGACTCTTACTGTTGATGTTAATTGGACTCCCGAGGAGACAAATCAGAATGGAAATGACTACATACATGAAGTGATCATTTACCTTCACTCTATTTTGACCCCAGCACAACAAATTTTACCCCTGGATACCATGTACAAAGTTGGGAGTGGTGTTTTTGAGCATATTTCTAATGTGATAGTAGCTGCTTTCTCTAATGATGGCGTGAAAAGGTTTAATACAAATGCAGTTATAAATATCGAGTATGATCTTCAGATCATAGAGAATTTTGCAGATGAAAGGTTCTATTCTGCTGGTCTGGGTGAAATTTACAATGAGGGTAGTTTTAAGAATTGCTTGGTAGAAGCAAGGCAATTGATTAATCTTTTGCTAAGTAGTCAAGCTGAGAACTTCATGAATCCTGTTATAAGGGAGAAAAGCTACTATGCATTGGATTACAAGAAGGTGTCTGCCATCTGTGATAAATTCAAGGATTCACCAGATGGAATATTTGGAAGCCTTGCTAATAAAAATGCCAAGCAAAGTGCAAAAAAAAAATCAATGGACGTGCTCAAAAAGCGCCTTAAGGATTTCAGTTGACAAGACTTGCAAATATTCTTTCATTGACAGTAGGGTATAATTGAGGTGCTTTCTTCTTATTCTATTAATGATGTTTAACTTTAGAATGAATTTGTGTTTCTATGTTGTGTCAGACTTATTTAATCAGGCCTTAAATTTAAATGAATTTGTCATGGAACCATGCCTCGTCATTGCGCAGTCAATATTTTACTATAGGATGCGATTCGCTCTCTTCATTTGATTAAAGAGTAAATACCCAATTTGGTCCTTCAAATTTGGCAATTGTATCATCAACTTAGTCCCTCATTTTAACGATTTTCAGAATAGCATCAAGTTAGTCTCTTTGTTAGTTTCTGTCTGTTAGAGGATTATATGCACAGAAGATGTAGTACAAATTGATATGAGTTAGAATTTCAAATTGAAACTTTTAGAAAATCTTACTGATGATGGGTAGTATATTTTTGAGAAAAAGATGCAAATATAGATTTGGAGCTTGCTAACATTTTGTTCTCTAATCTTCTTCCTAGTTTTCTCTGCCAATATTTTTAGTGTCTTAGAGTGAAGCTTCATTTTTATCCGTACAACGAACTTCCAGGATTTGCATTCGCGCAACTTGTGGATTGTTTTGGACTATTGATTCATTAGAGAAGAAAATGACTCTTATTCCCCAGAAATCCATGGAAGTTTGTCGACGAGAACAAATGATAATTTTAGATGTATTATTTTATTAATAAACATATGATTCAATGTGATAAAAACAAATAATAATAAAAAATGGATTTAATTTATATGCAGTGAAAAACTATTTTACATTGTTATCTAATAGAAAGTCAACAAACTGTCTTGTCATTAAAACAATTTTAAAATTAAAATGTGATTTATTTTAATACAAGGTTATGATTGATTGACAATTTACATTTTCTGTGCATCACTATTTTTCTCATAAAAAAATTGAGCAACCTCTTAAAGCAATAATTTGAGTTTAAATTCACACATTATAAATTCTCCATGTCTCTTACATACAATTTAAGAAGAATGAATTATAAAAGTGAATAATATAATTTCAATTACATAGAAAGCCCGATGAGACAATCTCATAAATTATTCAAACTTTTTTTCTTTCTATTACACTCTTTTTCTTCAATATTTAGAAGTCAATCCATAACCTTTATTAAAAAAAAGGAAAATGATACTTTATAAAATTAAACAATCATTTAAGCAAAAGTGAGATTTTTTCATTTTTTATAAAAAAAAGCATATGCATTATTTAGTCCTTTAACTTAATTTAAGGTTTCAATTCAGTCCCTTATGTAATAAATATTTGTTTTAGATCCCTTATATATATTTCTGTTAGACATTTTCGTCCTTTATATTAAAATTTGTGAACTTCCGTTAATTTTCGCAAGGGTGGCACTCGAGTTGGACGTTTTTAGATGACATGGATTTATGCTATAACATTTTGAATAAAAATTAAAGTAAGCTGAAACGTTTCATTTTAACCTCGCTTGTTTCATTGTGACTTCTCTTGAGTTCTGAGACAAAACCCTAACGAAACTATCATCCATCTTCATCTTCATTGCTCTCTTAAGTTCGTAAAGGTATGTTAATCAAACTCCATTGCTTTGTTTGTTTGTTTGTATCATCCATCTTCGTTCATCTTCTAAAAGACCCATAATTTCGTTAATCTTTACTTTTAGGGTTTGTTGAATCTTCCTTACTGATACTTCCCACAATACAGAGAGGAATAAGAACTTCGTTCACCTACTATCATAAAATACGAATAATCAAACAATTGTCTATAAAAATGCAAACTTTTTAGGTTTTTCCCTCTTCCTTATTTATATTTCTCATTTAGATATTTTATCTAGGTCATGAATAGTCGTTTTGAGTGCATTATTTATCGTGATGGTGAGTTTGTTGAGGTCATGCAATTAGGTTACAAAGACTTAGAGGAAACTTGGGATGTTGATCCTAATTTTTGGAGTTATTTTGAAGTGTTCGGTGGGTTAAAGGATTTAGGTTATCTAACTGTAGAAAGCCTTTGGTATCATGATCAAATGAAGTTTAATAACATGATTTTGTTGAAAGATGATAATGGAACTAGGAGGATGCAGACAATTGCTAGGTTGATTGAGACAGTGCATTTATATGTTATTCATCTTATACTACAAGTTGATGTAATTGAAGAACCAATACTATCACGTGAGTACCACATTGAAGAAGGTGCCACTGACATTGATTTAGGAAAGAATAATGATGAGGTGATCACTTGTGTTGAGAATGTTATGAATGAAGGAGACGTTGTGGATAAGGGGCCCATTGAATTTGAGAATGTTATGGATGAATGAGACATTACTGATAAGGGGCCGATTGAAGTTGAGAATGTTATACATGAAGAAGACATTGAAGTTGAACCTAATGTGGACGAAGGAGACACTAATGACAAGGGAACCTCATTTTTAAAGTATGCACATTTGTTTTAAGGCATGCAAGGACAGTTTTTTCAAGTGTCGGCCTATAATAGGTTTGGATGGGTGCTTCTTGAAAGGTTACTATGGTAGACAAATACTTGCTGCAATTGGAAGGGACCCAAATGATCAGATGATGCCTATTGCATTTGTTGTTGTGGAGATAGAAACCAATGATTCATGGAGTTGGTTCCTTGAACTGTTGATATATGACCTAGGAGGTACAAGACTATGCAAAACATACACATTCATAAGTGATCAACAAAAGGTACTTTGTTATTTAATTTATGACCTTTGATATATGACCTTTGTACTTTATTATTTAATTTTTGACCTTTGATATTTGACCTTTGTAGGGACTACTACCAGTTCAGGAAGAATTGCTCCCACAAGTAGACCAAATATTATGTGTCACGTATATGTCATATATATAAAAACTATTAAATTTTCTTGATGTTCAAAATTGTTCTGTAACTGATTGCTTTTCTGTAATTCAAGGCATCTGTACGACAACTTTAGGAAGAAATATTCACGAATTAAACTCAAGGAGTTGATGTGGAAAGCCACTACAACCAGTTATGTGAATGCATTTGAAAAAGACATGTTAAAAATGAAGGCGGTTAATGAAGAGGTATTCAAGCATTTGATAAAGATACCACTTAGGTTTTGGAGCAAGTTAATGTTCAAGACCAATCCTTTATGTGATACTCTGGTGAACAACGTGTCAGAGGCTTTCAAATCTGTTTCTGTGACAACTAGGTCCAAGCCAATCATAACAATGATTGAAGAAATCAGAGTGTATCTCATGCAAAGGTGGAAGTCAAACAGATGGAAAATTTCCAAGTATGAAGGTGATATTCTACCCAATATCAAGAAAAAGATTGCAAAGTGTGAATGCATTTGCTTATTAAATAGATATTTTGCATGATGTCAAAAATGTGATAGATTTAGCTTTTATGTATATTGAACGACATTTGTAAGTCATTGTGCTCACCCTTACATTAGGTATCTTAGAATGCATCTATAACATGTTTGAAAAGGTTGTCGAAAGATATCATGCATCAAAAATGATTTTTTGTATAAAAATCAATTGTATATGTTGACACATCCACACTATGTGTCGATACATCCACAATATGTGTCAACACATGTGGTTCAATAATAAAGCATGTAGGCTTTGTAACTATGTGTCGACACAAAGACCTCATATAGGTCAACAACTGTCATTAAAAATGTATTTTTGCAAAAAAATAATTTATATGTGTCTACACATCCATTGTATGCGTCAACACATGTGTTGTTGTTTTAAAGCATGAAATTATCTAGAATGTTGTGTCGACACAAAGACCTCATACAGGTCGACACATATCATTACATGTGTCGACACATAACTTACATGTGTCGACATGTGTGTCAAAATTTTGCAAGAATCTTTTTCCTTTTCAAACTTTTAAGTTTTCCTTTTGCCTCCAACTTTCACACCTATATATACGTCATACATGCATCATTTTCAACTTGATGAAACTCAACGCATACTAAGGTTGGGTTGAGAATCATAGGGGGTTTCATCCGAAAAACGATGAGAGTTGTTACCTCAAGATCAAACACTACAACAAATAACACTTTTTATGACGAAGCTTTCATCTCCAACATGCTAAAAACCGAGAGGATATGTCCTGTGAGCGTGTTGTTTAATTTTTTAATAAGATAAACAATATGTTACCTCGGCGTTATAAAAAATCGAAATAACATAACTATAAGTTATCACATTTTTTTATCCAATAAAAAAATAATAAATCTGTTATCTTGAATTTTTTGAGAACCAAAGTAATATAGCTATAAGGAACATCACTTCGAATCCCCGTTGCCACATTTAAAACTTTTTTCAACAATTTATTACTTGGCGTCTTTTCCAGATGCCATATATGTTTTTTTGTTAATTAATAATTCTCAAAAACTTTGTTATCAATAAACAAAAATAGATAATAATAGAAAAATGAAATATTTCATTGATAATAAAAAAAATAACACAACAAAGAAAATTACTTAACAAATTCAAACTTCTCACTCCACACAACTTCAACATTACCCCTAACTATTCATAACTTATAGAAAAATTCAGAAAGACCTCTTCTATAAGGTATGAGGAAAGTAATTTCCTCTCAAGAAGTATTTATCATTTCCTTAAATAATTTGAAAATGGTAAGATGAAGATCAACTTTGATGTTGTAGGTGAGGAATAACAAAAGATGTTTGTCATCCTAAGTAAGTGTTTCCAGGTCTTTCTCTCTTGGGCAGGGATTTTCCATTAGAAGTTAAAACTAAAACTTTACAGTTGGGAGTGGAGAAGTAGAACTAGAGAGCTTATTTTGGTTGGTATAAAGTAGGCGAAGGCGGGTTGCATAGACATTGCTGAATTCATAATGTTCAACACAACTACCAAATTGTTCACAGTTGATTGTCATATCATCAGTGATGGAGTAATGAAAAAATGAGAGTCATTGATATAAGACTGGATGATTTCATCATGACCAGCTGGCATAACAGAGAAAT